TTGGTAGCGCGCCGCACCTGCGTATAGGCCGCCATTTCAGCATGGACCAAAGAAGTCGAAGAGCTTTGCGAGGTGGTCGCCGCAAGGTCGCTGAAAAAGCTGGGCGAAGGTACGAGGAAATTGTCCTCGCCAGGGGCACCGGCAGCAAAAGCACCAGAGGAGTCGAGCGGCGACTTCGAGCGTAACTGTTGTAATTGGGCAGCTTTACCCATGTGCGTTTTTGGTAGACCCCGGTGAAACCATGCTTGATGTCAACGGGGTGGAACAAAACATGCAATGTTGAACCACAACGGGTGAAGGCAAATCTATATACCTCAACATGCAAAAAGGAGAACTGCTGGGGAGGAGAACGAACCTGATTTCAAGGACAGAACCGACTGGAAGGGTGTCTATCTCAGGTATTGAGTAAGATACGTTCAGACCTTCAATCACAGGCCTTTCAAGAGTGCAGCCCTTGTATTAGAATCTGAGTGTTTGATCGGGCATCTTCCTGCAAAATTGAAATCACTGGATGTCCTCCATCCCCAATGTCTTTTTTAGAGAGCATGTTGAAAGAATCCAGACTGATTGCTGAAGATAGTGGTCTTGTTTTCTATTCACGTCTACCTTTGCCTAACGTACCAACGGCAAAGTACAAAAAGCAAGCACTGCGCATCTTGTGCAAGGGCAGGGATAGTGGTTGCTTCACCGCAAACCATTCTCATATGGCCCGGGACTGACCGCTGGGACTGGCTGGCTTAAGGACGGTGGCGCAAGGCAGCGACCCCCGGTCACGGTCCTCTGCAATCACTGGAATGATGCTGCACGACTGCACTTTCCCGGCTTGAAGGAGCCACTGTTGCATCTGAGCCATTCGCAATCGCACCGTCGGGATGGGAAGGAGGAAGAAGCGGAGGAAGTGGAGTGGGCAAAGCGAGAAGGTTGAAAGCCTAAACACACTTTGATCAAGAATCAAAACAAGAAGCTATTAGTAACAAGTGCCTTACTAGTAGTAACAAGAAGCTATTAGAAACAAGTGCCTTACTAGTAGTAACAGGTGCCTTACTAGTAGTAACAAAAAGCCTTCAGCCACTCAGGATTAGTAGATTCCTTTGCTAGTAATTACTATTCTAATTAAATTCTTATTGTTACTAGTAGTAAGGCACTTGTTCCTAGTAGCTTCTTGTTACTAGTAGTAAGGCACCTGTTTCTACTAGCTTATTGTTACTAGTAGTAAGGCACTTGTTCCTAGTAGTGATGCACTTGTTCCTAGAATCAAAACCCGGACTAAACCGCAGTTACGTTCAGCCACTCAGGATTAATCCAAACCCGGACTTTCTCAAAAAGGTAGTCCCGATCCCTACGATTTGCATTCTTGAAGATGTCCAAACACCCAAAACCTTCTGAGAACATCGCCAAAAAATAACTTCCGGTGGTTGCTGACAGTGGTGACAGCGCGGGCCAAATTCAAGACATCCTCTGGATCGCCCCTCTTCAGAAACACCTTCTGTTTCACTTGGTGCTGCCCCGTTCGGTTCCACACACACACACCGTTCGGTGCCACCGTGTCCATCCACTTGCCCGCTAGGAAGAACCGAATAGAACGCGCCGCCTGGCTCGAGAGAAAGCAGTTCTCGCTACAAATGAGAATCGTGCTCTTGGCTTCGGTGGGCAGCTGCTGCCCTTCCCGCATGACGCAGGGGAGCATCATGTGTCTCAAGAGCAGTGGCCTGCGCTGGCCGGACACAGGGAGCGAGCGCGCGCGAGAGAGAGAGAGAGCGCATGAGCATGAGCATGAGCATGGATTTACCCAGTCCGTTAAACACGGCAATGTTGTTGGTTTTAGATCACTCTGGGCTGAACATCAGCAGAAGCAAGGATCCTTTGTCACGGTGGTAGTGTTTTGAGGGCAAAAAGGATTCAAGGCAGGATCTTGTTTAAAAAAATGCACAAGCTGTTGAGTTCCCTTCTCCAGAGCGGTTTTCTGTTTCACAACTATTTGCCGGGTCTTTAGTCAAAGGATCAACCCAAAATTAGTCAAAGGGAGCCTGTGTCACAGAGGCTTTGATCATCCGATGAAATGGATACGTATATGTGCAACGCTGCAGGATGCAGGTTGCCCCTTTGCCACTTCTGTAATGTTTCTCGGGCTTCTCTTTCTTTCCGAGATCCCCTGGTTGATCTGCAACATAAAAATCGTTCCTCCGATCCAGACTTCCAAACGCTTCTTTCTTCACTGCCACTCTAAAACACAACATCCAACATATGGCAGTGTCTTGAACAAATATCACAAAAACAGACCCCCCCAACCTTCCCCAGTACGGTCGAAAGAAAGACCAGCAACCCACAAACGCGGTCTCCAAACCTCTCCTTTCTCCCAAAAAGAACCTCAAAATTGAGTCCAGGTCCCGTTGTTCGATGCGTTTAGGTGGTTTCGTCGGTCTCCTCAGGAGATGCTGCAAGACCAGGGCTGCCGCCACGCTTTCGATGTTCTTTGGATCCACCATGATGGGCACCACCATCGAGTTGGAGGGGCTCTCCGGGTTGTTGAGCCCGCTCACCCTGCTGGTCGGTCTGTAGGTCGGCCGAAGGACCAAACCACCCGGTCGAGGCCAGGTGTTTCACCGGTGTTTGGGATCAGTTTCATGCCCCCGACAATACGAGAGATGTTGTTTACATATGTTTACATCACATGTTCTGCCCTGCAAAGCCCAACACTTCTCACAACAAGGAGACGTTTTTACGAGCAGTTCTGGTTGGAAAGAACCGTGTGCAACTATCTATATTGCTACAAAGACATCGGGGTTGTGAGGAAAAAGGCTGCTTGTTGATCCACTGGCTTACCATGCAGCATTCTAACTGCGAAATAACAAGTTGTTCATAGTTTTTCACACCCACTATAATGTGAGTTTAAATATTCAACTGGTTTTCTCAAACAGATCTGAAGACACTTGGCAAAGGTTCCACGTGTACCCTTTTGATCCTCAGGCGGCCTTGACTTCCAGATGGTTTGCAGCCAGATCCGGAACGCGCCACTGGTCACTACTCACCCCCCCTTGGGATGATCATCTCACTTCTTGGAAATATGGAGCTTTTCCATCCCGGGTCCGGAGTGTCCGGCACTGTACTGGGCATCCACCGGACCTCTAGGCGCGGCTATAGAGAGCCCTATCTCCGAATTCCGATCCACGGGCCAGTCCACCGGACCTCCACGTGCCCAGCATGCCCAGCAGCCCAGCCCCCCCCGACCAACCTCGGCGTGAGGTTGGTACTTCCACGATGTCCCGTGAGAGACTGCACCAGATGCTTCACCGCCGCATCCGTGAGCAAGCCTGGGAGCCAGAGCGTCTCCTGGCGTGGATGTTACGAGGATGACATGAAGGAAAAAAAGCAAAAAGCAAACCAATTGAAATATGAAGAACTGAGGCTGAGCTGCACAAGAACCAGAAACACGACTGGAGCAAGAGATAAGCCAACTAAGACTAAAAGGAATGAATGAAAGGAATGAAATGAATGTGTGTAAATATGCAAAGAGCCGAATAAGAAGAAGTGGAGCTCCTCTTGTGATTGTTCCAACTCTTTCTATTTTTCAATACTGGGTTCATTTGTTCGCTTCTTAGAATGCTTCTTTAAAAAAAAAAGAAAAACACACAAGGGCCGCAAGGGCACAGCAAGAAATAGAGAAACCACTGGACCAAGAGAAATACCCCTTGGGAAGAGTATATAAGGGTTTATGAAGAAAAGGACAAGAATCCAAAGTAGAAAGCTGGAAGAGCCAAGTAAGACACGGGGCAGATCAATTTAGGAGTCTTTGTCTGGTTTTACAACTTCGTACATCATACATAGATAGAGGCAGAGGGTTGTGCCGTTTTCGTTGCTCAGTTGTGATAAAAGCAAGGGCTGAAGAAGACTAGAGACTATCATAATGGAGCAAGATGGAGCAAACTACTCAAAGGCGGCAGATGAACTAAATGAGAAGAGGAGCAGCTACAGTAATTGAAGATGGCCAGATGTTCATAAGTTTATATCCAGGTTAGGGCTTGGAACCACAGAAAAACAGGAAGAGCTAAATGTGAGATCGGACAATCAATTTAGAAGGAAAATAGGAGGAGGAGCCAAAGAGAGACATCCCCAAGAAGCAAAAGGCAAACTATGTAGTGTGTATATATAATATATGTTACTATGTTGTTTATAACTTAAAAGGGAAAAGCAATTAAGATGAATTAAGATTGCCAGGTATCAATGAGCAAAAAAGGATACGTCCAGACTACGGGCTAGTCAGCTTGTGCAAAGCTGCATGTGCATCCTTTATCCTGAACTTGCACAAATTGCAGGATTCCTGCCTCAAAAGCCTTCAACATATCGCTCCACTCCTCTATTTCGGCAAACTGCAAAGGACGACAAACGACAAAGCTACATCAACCGGCACTTGCTGCCAAGTCTCCACATTCACCAAATTGCGTAGGGTCTTCCTGAGGTCTACAGCTCTGCTTTGCCATCCCCCAGGAGACACAGACACAGGGTCACGGCAATTCAGGAAAGAACATAAAGGTTGTAATCCCAACAATGGTATATACTCACAATTGTGGTAGTTTAGTTGTTTCCAACCAGAGTACAGGAAGGATACCAGTAGCCACCAGCAAATGGGTTCCAGCCAAACTAAAGAACAGCATGTTTGGATGATGCAGTTTTTGGAGTATGCTGTTCTCTTTCAGCATCTTCCAAAAGGATTGAAATCGGCCGGGCAAAAGCTTCCACGCCATTGGCTCTCCCAGCCCCCATTCCACCAAATCCGGTTCCGTGCTCTTCTGTCATCCGGATAACTAGATTGGGCCTACGAAAGGTCACTGAAGAATAAGCAAGTAGAAAGAACCTAAATCAAACAACTCCAAAACTGTAGGTCAGCAGTACACAAAGCCAGGGTGTGTCCTACGATTTATACAGGTCCTACAAGTACTTACTACACATGTGTTTTTTCCGCTTTTCCAGTCAAAGAATCGAAAACACCTCCCGACATTCCTTCAAAAAAGCTTTTCTCCAAGCCGCCTCACATCCGTCAAACTGATCCCGAACTTGGTGAGCTCTTTGATGTCCGGCACAGTGGACCGGTAGTTCTCGATGAACTGCTCGTCGGGCAAGACCATGGTCGGCCAGGCCAAGAGGACGGTACGAACCTGGACGGTTGGTCCACGGTGTGACGGTCCCCGGTGGACGGACGGTTTCGGTTTGAACATGGTGGACGAAAACCACGTGAGAAGGCAGGCGTGAGAGAACACACACAGCCTGGTCGACCATGATGCAAGAAAGCTGGACTCATCCAACTGATTCTGTCAAGAGAAAGCTGTGCAAAGAACGTGGAGTGCACCGGACACGTCATCGTCAAATACGCCATCTTCACGGCTGGGGTGGGTAGGTGGATGTGGAAGCCGCAAACGAGATGAGGAAGAACCAGCTCAATGGACGGTTAAATGGTTAGTACTTTTCACATCGAGGTTGTCCTGAAGGGCCTCGAAGTATTGAACAAGTGGGCAAACAACCTGTTTTCGGACCCAACCTGCAAGCAGGGCATCACGACATCGTTGCGCTGTGCTCACCCTCTTGCCTCGTTTGTAAAGGCCGTGGCCATCTCCCCCATGCACCACTTCCGCGTGAAGATCGCGGGGCTCCCGAGCACCACGAAGGTGTCCGTGTCCTCGCGCGCGGGCGGTCGGCGCAGGCCGGCTGACGTGTGCAGGAGTCGGTTGGCACTTGGGGGGGGTAAACAGCCGCTGTGAAGAGTACAAAACCAGCAGTATGGGTTCCAGAGAACGGACGAAACCGAAGAAGGAAAGGAAAACGCCTGGATGTTGTCATTCCTCCATTCTGGACTCATCCTTCTAGTGTATCACCAAGTCCACCAACGTCTGATAAGCAAACAATAATCCTCCACTTGCTTTTGGACAAGCGTGCACTGTCCATTGCAGCCATTCCGTCGTTGACGAATGCGCAACCATTCGCTGTCCAAAACCACTAGCTGTCAACAACCCACTTGTAGCTTCCACACCAGCCCGGATACATGGAACGTGATGAAGGCTGGGGTTGCCTGAGTTGCTTGATTTAAAAAGTTGCTTGATGTTTAATGTGGTTTAGAACAAGATGGAACCCACACGGTGCCCACCAAGCTCTCAAACAAGAGTGACTGCTGTTGAATCGCTCGGCTTGAAGAGCTTCCTGCGCGAGGGGGGATCCTCAACTGGGTCGTTTGTGGACTGAACTCCTGCCGTTTGCGGATTTCTGGTACAAATCAGGGTCCTCCTGCACTCCTGCTATACCCCAAAACGGGACCCCAAATCCGGGTGCTCCTGGGCCACGTAACTGAAGAGCCGTGTGAGATTCATCAGGTCATCACTATCAACGAAGGTCTTGCTGCCAGGGCTGCCTGGTCACGCGTTTCTCGAAACGAAACGCACGACGCCAGAGACAGGCCACGGCTGACGCCAGAGGCTGACGCCAGGATCCCTGTCAAGACCTTGACAACAAAAGAAGATGGAGAATACACATCGGGATGCATCCCTCACGTCTCCACGACGTTAGGTGAGGAGGGTATCTCCTCACCATGACCCACCACCCACCACTTGAGAAAGTCCCCAAGCGCCAGGAGAAGGCGTTTCTGCCGGCAAGTCTTTGAAATTCCACCTGCTCTGCCTGCACGAGCGTGCAGCGGCGTGTCTTGGTGCCCGCGTGCCCATCCGACGCCAATCGGTCAGCCCAGGGGCGATTCTGCAGCTCGATCTTCAACAGTCGAGCCATCGACCCCGAGGCAGCTTTATGGTGACCTCACAAAAAGACAACACGTCGATGCGCAGATCCGGAAACGGTAGGTTCCAGAGAGGCATGTTGCTGTTTGAATATGCAAACTTTCGTGTGCGGCAGTTTGGGTGTGTTGGGCTAATTCAGGTGTTTAGAACACCTGGCCTCTGTGAGAAGGTCCAGGAAACTTGATTATCTTGATTAGGGATGATGAAGGGTCTCAGATGTTTGCGATGTCTCCTTTAACCACCTGAAGAAAGAGTGTGATGCGGAGATGCACAGATGTGAAACCAAAAAATCACTGAAAATCGAGAGCTCCAAAACCGAAACATGCAATGGCACAGCTAAGGGATGCGAAGGCGGGAAGTCTAGTTGAGTCTTCAAGGGCCTAAGAAGGTAGTGTCCACTCATCCTCTTCTCACAGGTATGTCGGCTCAGCCTTCCGAGTCGATATCACAGACCACTGCAAACGTCTTTGTATATGGCCATCGCTAGCTTGGGGGCCATCGCTTATGGGTTGGAGGCCATCGCTATTTCTTTGCGCCAGACTTGCATCATCCCCGACACCCACAGATGCAAAGGTTTCATGTGCTACAAGATCAACCAGGTGGTTGTTGCAAGCCCAAAATTCCAAAATTGAAAAATTGAGCCTGTGCATGCCAGAAAGCTGGGATTGCAGTAAGTACACTTGGAAAGATTGTCCTTGTTGCGGGCCATTTGCATACAAAGTACCAACGATGCAGGAATTTTGAAACTGTGGATGCTTCAGGTATATTTATATGATAAATATTAAGAAAAAATGACCAACGCCGGTCACAGACTACTCCTCATATTGAAAGAAATACTACCTCGGCGTTTCACCAGCTCACCAGCTCTTAGCTCCCGCTTACCATCGGTTGAAAGAGACCAAGAGAGGGTCTCCCGAATGTGCGACAGCTCCCAAGTAGCAAAAAGGTGAAACCTGGAGAAGCCCAAAAAAGGCCCATGTCGTAAAAGAAGTCCGCAAGAACCTATCTAGTGCCACTCGTTTGTCTCACAAGTCCAAAAGCGAGCGACGAAGAGGCCGCGCAGATACGAAACGACCTCTGAAGACATCTTGGGTTGCCAAGGTGCATAAGAAGAACTTGAACTCCTTCCGAAACTTCCTCAGATATTCTGGATGGCCAACACGAAACGCATCAACCCGCAACAGAAACTCTTTGCCGGGCTGTACATGTTACCTCCACATGACATGTTCTCCAGGGCGTGCTCCCAAGCAGAAACACTTCAGCGGATTCATATTGGTGGCGAACATGCAAAAAAGAACAGAAGGACGAACAGAAGAGTCTTCTTGCTAATGCCTACCTATGAAGTTTGACTCAGCTCAAGTGTCTGTCTAATAGCCTTGTAGATGCCAAAGCCGACGGCGCCCAAAATACCCAGAACCATCAACGACAGGCATGCCATGATGACCCAAATGTCATTGCTCGCATCCACGTCCTGCCGTGTTTTTCTTGTGCGTCATCCATTTGGTCTACCTTTCAGCAGGGGTTTTTGACATAACACTCAGGAAGCTTTTCGGATGGGGATCGAGTCCCACTCCCCTCTCCTGTACGAACAAGGCAGCCATTTCCGTGATCCCTAAGAGCCCGCAGAGCAATACAACGTCTAAGAAGTTGGAGACTGCCTCGGTCTCTCGGTCTCTCGGTCTGGATCGGCTTCGCATGCGAAGCGCCGTGCATGGAGTACCATGACACAACCACATTTGATTGAAATCTTGGCAACTACATGGAGTTGGAATGTGCTCACTTGGGTCTGCAAAAGATAGAAAGCTCAAAGCCGCCACTCTAGTGACTGGTGAACCCTGATGGCTCGTAAGGCAAGAGGATAAAAATCTGGATCTTGCTTTGGTCAGGATGATCCAAACTGAACTCTCTGCAACAAACTGGTGATTCTAAATCTCTTCTCGCAAGACGAGTGCTTCTTATCGTGCAAGACGAGTCCAGCGCTTCGATACCTACACACTTGCTTTCACGGTCCCTTCTTCGCAAAAACTCGACCTTACAAGCATGGAAAGCATGTGACGTCGTATGCATATCTTCTAGAGATGTAGGGAAACCCTTTGGGGATGGCTCAAGGTTGATTGAAGAGTTCGAAATCTTCAAGTTTTAGATATCTTCAAGCAAATTTCACAGTGCAGTGATTCTATGAAAAATACACTCCCAAACAAGGTAATGTAGAGACTCCCCTCCCGCCCCTCTTCGACAACGACCAAGAAGAGATAGTGATTCCATCCATCGAAGCCAAGCTGCTGAGCGCCAGGGAAGCACATAAACCACCGCGATCAGGTTGGCGCCCAGCACTAGGTTGAGAGCTACTATCTTCCCTGACATGGAAGGAACCTGATGGCGCTCTGGAAAAGCACTCTCCAGCAAACTCATGGCCCAACAAAAGGGCCTCGAATAAGAATGTCAAGCTACCATGGTCAGACGGGGCGTTGACACAAAAACATAAACGATTCATGGCAGACATGGATCAAGCTGCATGAATCGCTCCATCGGAAGCTGAACTGTTGGATGTGTCCATATGACCCTATTTGACCACCCCTGGAAGAAGGAACATAGACCGCACCCCATTAGTGGAAGATTTCCCTATCATCTACTGCGACCAGAATCAAAAAGGTCTTGTTGCTTCCCAATGTCCTCAAGAACCACTCCAAAAGAAGCGCCTGCGACACCGTGTTTCACCACTCTCTCCAAAGCACCTGCTCTCCAAGGCCCCAAAATCAGGGAGAACATGGGAGAACCAAATCTGGATGTGTGGGGTCGCCCGGTCCCCTGGACCTGACAGGTGCCGATCCTCCGGATCCTCTTGGATCGAAGTGGACAGAGGAGGGTGAACTTACACTCTGAAACAACGAACGAAGTGGAAAAGGGCCGCTTTAGCAGACCATGGTGGCGAAAACGTTTCGAAATTACACGTCCATGTTGGTGAATGGAAGAGTCTCCTTTTTCAGGCGTGAAGGCAAATGTTCAAACAGTCAACTGCTTCTAGTTCACCACACGAACACCTTTGCAGCACAGGAGCCAACGGGCACAAGACCACGAAGAGATTTCGCACCTCGCTGCGAGTTGGTGGATCTGGATTTGGCAAAAGACAGAGCGTTGTTGAGGATAAAACCAGAACCATGAGCTTTAAACGCGACATGTATGTACCAGGGCCCCCAGTTTGGGGTGGTTAATGGACACCCCTTAACCTCTAATGACATTTTTTAGGGGGGCCCTGGTATCTATTCTGGCTTGGGTAGATCGGCGGGATTCGGCGAAACCATCAAATGAAGAACACAAGAAACCGACCTTTCTCTAGAAAGAAAAGTCTATCCCTTTAGATTAAACACTTTCAATTGGGTGGCTACAGGTCATCTGGACTTCATGTGTGTGTGTGCAATAGAATTCGATCTAAGCAACTTCCAAAATGAATATACAAAGTTGGTCTTATCTACTTTAGGCTTCGTTTCTTGTTTTCCGGCTTTGCTGTCCAAGGATTGGGGTACTGTGTCCTGTGCGTGAGCGAAGCTGAGTTAGATTACCACCTTAAATGTTCCATGTTCAGCACAGCGCCACATGATCATTCAAGAGTGACTGGCACGATTAATTCCAATTTCTTGTCGGGGCACTTGGTCTTAAGACGGCCCGTGTCTAGTCGCGTGTGTTTGGCTTCGTTCAGGCTTCGTTCCAAGTCAGTCCATTTCAAGACAAGACCATCGAAAAGGAGAATCCCAGAAGAAAAAGCTTGCAAAAAAACCTTGCATGTTCACATAGTGAACTTCGCTCCGCAAGGCTCCTATGTTCCGCCGCATCCTAAGTAGAGGAATAATCAGCTCGGATTGAAAGTACAGAATCCTCCCTTTCGCTTGGGAAGATCCTGCAGAACGCGCATACCTTACTAGGTTGATAGACCTTCAACCATTTACTTGATGTTTGAAAGAAAGGTGTTGCTTGCTACGCCCACCATATATTCACTAGTAGTTACAGCAAAATCGATTTCAATAGCACCTTTCGGGTTCACCTGGTCTCTATCGCCGCAAAAATGCCTTAACCTGTCATCATTCAATGTTTTTATGCCGAAAGCTAAGTCCCTTCTCCTACATTCCCCGCACCGTTCACAAACTACCTGTCTCTTCTTACCCTTACCATGCAGATGTTTCACAGCATTCATTCTTTCGAAAAAAGAACCGCGTCACGCGGAACCGGAGGTGACGTCCCCCAACCAGCGGCCCCCCTTGGCCCCCTTGGCCTTTGCCCCAAAGAAGAAACGAGCCCCGAACAACGGACAACAGACGTATCTGGCGTGGCAAAGGGAAAAAACAACAGCTAAAAAATCCACCGTCGTCCAGTAACCATAGAACAGAAATTCACCGTCCACCATGTACCGTCCACCTATATCTCCACGTGGCACTCGACCAGGTCCGGCAGGGGGGAACGCCCCCGCGTCCCCGTCCCGCCTGGAAGAGCACGGAGAAGATTTCCGCGCCGGGACGGAGCCTTCGGATGAGGAAGAAATAGGCATCCAGCGCGCTGGTGTCCACCTTCATGAACGGGTAGGCGCGAACAAGGGGAAGGCAGTTTCCGGTGGAACTGCTCTGGCTGAAACTGGTTTGGTCTTCAAGCGAACGAAGATGGAAGCGAGCTAGACTGTTCAAGTGGGTCACAGAGTGCCAGAATGAAGTCACTCAAGTCCTGAAAGTGTTACAAATCTCCCTTCACAGCTCCGAATGGAGAGTGCTGGAAGCCAAGCACATCAGTTTTAATTTTCTTTACTGGAGCTGGCCTAGCAGGTAAAGCCATGGGTGGTATTTGGAGATTGAGATTGGATTGCAGACCACAGAGTATCCATCCACCCATGTTTGGCATCCAACCGAATGTCAAGATCTTCTGCAGTGGTCATGGAGTGTTGCACCGTACCTGTGTTTCGTGCTCTTTTCCGTCGCCTGCGCGATTCCTTTCGGGATCTCCACCAACACAATCCAGGTGCAAAAGACCAGGAAGCCCATAGGCATGGCACAGGCCACGCCGCCAATGATGTACATGTGCATGTGCCGCCCTTGACCATTGCAGAGCACCGATTGATACCTTGGTCGTTCGCGCGGGCCCAGAGGCGCACAAACATGGGCCCAAAGGCTTCCAACAAGTCCGAGGTGACCGACCATGGTCCTCAAAAGAAGGGCAAGGGGTGTTTGGTGTAGGTATGAAAGCATACTTGTGAGAATGACATGGAATGACTATAGTCTATAGTCATGTGCGGGAACCCACGTATCATCCCAGAGATTCATCAAAGGTATCCTGGTCCAAACCCCATGGCTGCATTGTTTTTCCTCCAAGAGACATGTGCTTCAAGGTCAGCACCTGATTGGGATGCTCATAGCACTGGAAAGGCTCCAGCAGCAGGGAGAAGACAATGATGAACCAGATCATGAAAATGGTGCCAATGGTGCGGAAGAGTTGGCTGAGCTTCAGGTTTCGCAGGCTCATCGGCCGATGAAAGAAGAGCAAGTAACCTTGGTTTCATGAAAGAGGCGTGATGCTGAATGGCACATAGAGAGGCTGCCAGGACATTCAGTCCAGATTATCGGGAATAGCTATGAATAGCTCCCCACTAGATGCCCTAAAAAATCAGGTCGAGCCTGGGATCAAAGGCTGAAAAAAAGCTCTCCAAACAAGATCAACACTGCTTTCCAAAAAAGGACCAGTTCTTGAGGCAGCAGCTACAGCTCCCCAAACCACGTCTCCAGCATGGAAGAGGCTGTTTGTTTTCGAAACTCTCGCTGCCAGTTGGGACCTCCAGGGCCCCCAACAAATCCGGCCCATAGACACAACTTGTAGTTACAGCTGTTCATCTTGTTCTGTTTTTTCTTCCTCCCCTTCTTCCTCCCCTTCTTCTTGAGGTGAACCGCTCTTGTTCTTGTTGGTGTTGGTAGTGGTGACAGCATCAACCTTCCGCAAAGGCAAAGAAATCATACTGAAATCTATATAAGATCTGTGCCCAAGTCCTCTACCCACATCCTGTCAGGGTTTGGAATGAAGATCTGTGCCCCCCTCCGTTCGTGTCCAAGCGTCCAAAGTGCACCAGCAGTGCAACCAGCATGAGTACTGGCATCAAGCAAACGCGCAGGACATATTCGCCCAAGGAGTCCAGAGGAGTGAGGCATGCGATGGACAGGACATCCAAGTTGAAGTTGAAAATCTTCAAGAACCTCACTCCGCCCAATCCTCCGCCCATCCTCCACTGGAGGAGTATGGGGGGGCCGCGTCTTTGAGTTCCAAGGAAGAGGGAAGCAGTTTCGCAAGCCTGGACACCAAAACGCACGCAGAACCGCCTGGGTGGTCCAGAACCGCGGGGATGCAGGGACGCACCGCGGTTCTTATTTTCCGTGGTTCAGTGGTCCAGAACCCGCTGTTGAATCGCTGATCCGACGGGGTGGCATTTTCTGGAAAACTGAGCGGATGTTGGCAAATTCACCAAGGCGAGGTCCTCAAACTTCAAACCGAAGTTGAAGGCGATCAAGTGCATAGTTGTGAACTTCTTACCGTGCTTTTTGAGGCCCAGGCATTGCCAGGCATCCAAAATTACTCTGATGTTGATGTTGGGAAGAACGCTCTTTTCAACTTTCAGCACGTCCTGTTCTGTTGGCATCCTATAAAACAGTCGGACACCCTGCGAGTGTCTCCTCCCACACAGTTGCACCACTCGACATGGTGAATTCTTTGGTGTCCCCCACCTTTGGGCACCAAGGAGCTCCAGGATGCTTGCGAATGGCTCTCGCCAAGGGATGTCAAAGAGATGTACCACCTTGGCTCCACTCCGCCCTGGGGAGTCCAGTAGGTCTATGTAGGTCTCCAATCACTTAGATGTTCTCCCTATGTGCCAAATAGTGCAATTGTCCAATAGATCTTTCTATGTAGGTCGGCCATCGAATTGAACCAGTGGTTCCTGATTTCAATCCTGCGCATCGCAGGCGCGGCGATCGCGTGCGGTCACTGGAAGCATCCTCACAGTACGTACCATGTCAAAAGTGTCAAGCACCATGTTATACAATGCTATACACTGATGAAAACCCTTTTCCTTACCTCAAAAATATGGAGCCCAGCTCGAATTAGGTCGCATCTGCTCGCAGTTTGTTCGATGCGCTCTGGAACACAGGGGCCAGCGGCCCACCGGCGGGCAACCGGTAGCCATCCGTTCCGGCCAAGGCACACTCAGGATCTGCACCGTGGTCAACAACTGGGTGACGCTGGTGATGGTGATGAGCAAAGGCCCAGGCTGGCTCACCTACAGTTCTTCAGTGTCTATGGAGTCTACGCTCCCATCCAACAACCATGAAAGTGAAGAAGTACTTGGTTCCAGGAGTCTTGCAAGGAGGCATCCTTCACTTCCGTGCTTTTCAGCGGACGGTACATGCCGTGGTTTAGTTTGGACATCTAAGCAAGATCAGATGCCCGAAACTCTCCAGCCTATTGCCAGTGAGGGATGCATATATAGTGTTTCTTCTGTACACGGCAAGATGAATCATACCGAACGAACGTTTCCACTATCAATTGAATTGCGCAGCAGTACGGAGGGGACGATAGCGAAACATTTTATGCATTATGACCCAAATAAATACAATAAATGCAACATCGAACTACCAAAGTGAACCACACACGTTCTTGCCGGTACGATATCAAAAGCACCATACACAGAGAACCAGACAGACTCACCTGTTGTTCCTTTTTGGGCGATGGTGGGCCAAACCAAACCTTGGAAGAGGCATGAAGAAGCCTTCCCACGCCGATGTGTTCGGCGCTTCTTCAACCCGTCAGCGATCGACGAAATGGCCTTCTGCTCCTGGAAGAGAACCTCGGGTTGGCTGCATCGATGATTGGTGAGGCTTAAACGTGCACCTTCTGAAACCAAAACGATCTGAGGGATGGTCAAAATATGTCAAAATGAAGTCTTCGCCCTGCCAATGTCAGAACAAAGGATTACTTCTTGTTTTTTTTTTCGGGGGGGATGCTCCGAAGTCCTGCAGCTGGGCCGGTGAGAACTCTCCGTACTGGCCCAGACCTCAGAGCCACCACCCATGACCTTCCCTCATCATCCCTCCAACATCCTCATGGAAGCGGAGGGCATGGCGCATGGCCCCCCGGAAGCATGGGCAGTTGGAGCTTCACTACACCACCACGGCCCTCGTTCCGTCACACAGACCAGGCACATAGTAGATGATCCCGACACCGATGAAGACTGCTGCCACAGATGCCACCGCCAGCAGATAGTCCCCATTGTCACACTCTCCACAGGAGCCTGGCAGAACTGCCACAGTAACCTCGCCTTCGACCCAGCCCAAACACGTTCTCAGGAGGTGTCCAAGGACCTAGAATTGGCCACCTCCGGTATGGACACCAACTAATCCACTGGTCAAGAGGCATCTCTGTTGGAGTGATGGTGGAGGCTTCTCCTAAAGCCGCCTTGCAGGCTTCAGATACACCAATCCACACTTCTTGAAAAGGCTCAAGTAGTTCACCCAGTCCCAAACAGGACAGTCTGGGATCAAAGACCCAGAAATTCTCCAAATCTACAGACCCGTCTCCACCCTCCAAGCTCCAATCTCGGCACCAGTCCCCAATCTCGACTCCAATCTTCACTATCGACCACCATACTCCTCCCACCACTCCTCCCACTGCTCCCACCTCCATCCTTCGCGCGCAGCATGCTCAAACAGCTACTGCAACCCAATGAGTCAGGGTCACGCCCAACGGTGCAGGTGCCCGGCTTGCCCCCGGGGCAGTGGCTCGCGGAGAGACACTTGTAGATCTCCCCCGGCGCCACCGACGAAGAGAAGTAGCCCGGCAACACCTGCGACGTTTGATAGGCGCCGCGGTGTTGCCACGGAGAGGCCGGGAACTAGCGGCTGGTGGAAGAGCTCAGAAGACACAAGTGTAAAATGTAAAAGGAAAGAAAGAAAGAAAGAACGAACGAAAGAACGAAATAAATAAAGAAAGAAAGAACGAAAGAACGAAAGAGATAAGGAAACAAAAAGAAGTTGAAAGAGATCAAGAAACAGTTAGATTTATTGTATTGAGGCTAACCCTCTTATACCTAAAAAGTGATTGCAGTTCAGTTTGACTCATATTCTTGGGGGCGGGAAACTGCTACCTGAAAAGTGGAACACTTGTATGGCAGCCGCAAGGCCGATGATTTCAGCGTCGGCCTTCGAACAAACTTCCGTTATTTGGACAAAATCTTGCTCGGTTTCGCTCGATCACCAGGCGGCACAACATGGATTTTGCCAATCTGGTAAATGGATGTGAAGGTTCTTGAGGGGTGGCAACGAAAGGCTGCCACTGGCTCCGAAATGTATGTTTAGCAAGTCGATGAAGAGACCCTGAAGGCGTGCCACCCAAAACCTGTGGAGTCATCTCTAGATCACATTCCAAAATCTTCCAATCTCTACTCTCCCTGGAACGAACTAACATGGAAGTGGATGGCACCACCACCTGTTTGGTTCGTGGATGGCACTTCCTGGTCTTCCGAACGAAAGGGCCCATGGGCCATGGCCATTCTGGTCCCACAGGTCCGGTGCTTCGTCAGACGGCGTCAGCATTTCGCCTCGAGCTGGTTGGAGCCCCGGCAGTAGGACCCGGTGGTACACTGTTGGCACCTGCCATGTGAAGGAGAAAACAGGGCGGGTGCGAGGCCGATTGGCAGGCCGATAGCCAGAAATGGAACCAGCTAAACTCAAAATCAATATGAAAATGAGTTGCATGAGGTTGAGAGGCATGGGCAAACATGGAGTCAGAAGCAAAATTTAGTCGGATTCTTCAGTCCACCTCGCTCCACCTCTTCCACTTGTCAATTCCTGTCATTTTTCGGGATTGATATCCATAGAATTACTGCATAGAAAATCCTTCTTCACCTCGTCTTCAATTCCTGTGAAACTCATGTTCTTTTCGAGATATCGAAGTTTCGACATCCATCAAAATCCAAGGCGAACCCCTCACCCGTCAGTGGCGGATTTCACGAGGTCACAGCCACAGCCCATGAAGAAGCTGGGATTTGGGGATAGTCCATGTGTTCGATGGCGCTTTGCAAGTCCAGCCATTTTTTTTGACGTGGGCGACGTGGTGAGATCTGTTTTTGGCTTAGGGGTGGCAAAAACAACATCAAGCCACCGTCTACCAGCTTTATGTACAACCAGCCTCTTGAAGATATGCAACTGGCATCAAAAACACATCCATCTTCTGAATGCTCACAACTCCTATTTGAATGGGCCATGGGCCAGCCACGAACACATGGAGAGAAAGACCTCAGGTTGCAAGTTCGGCGCCATGTTTCACTGGTGACTCCACATCCTATTCACCTCCCGTGACCCAAACCCCCCACACCAAACTCGCGCACGAATGAACCAGCTGTCCAAATGAACCAGCTGGCGAAGTTCGGTTTTGGACGCCGATGTTTCTTCGACCTCAGATCAACCTTTGTCACAGCGGCTACCACCTCTTTGTTTTACAACGGGCGTTTTGAGTCGTTGGTCCCACCTGGATCGCGTTGTTTCCCACTGAACGGGTTTGGGAGTTCGGTCGCTACTTTCCCCGCCACCTTGCTTCTGACCTTGGAGCTGACCCGCCGATCCAACGAACGCACGCGGGCAGCCAGGCCTCCCCTGCCAGAGGAAGCTGCCCTCAACGCAGAAGCAAAACTGCGCTGAGCTGGCCCCTTGAACCTGGCGGGAGACGAAAACCAAAAGGTGGTTTTGATGCGCCACAGTCAGTCATTGGAAAAGGGAGCTTTGTGCAGTCTCCCATGACCCGCTGTGGCCAATCACCCCTCTGTTTTACCCAACTTCACCGTCCCGGCCCAAGGAATAGCAACAGACCGACAGACCACATCGGCCGCCTGAATCCAGGTGGTCTCCTCATACACATCCACCTCGCATGTCACTTCGTTCGCTCGAAAGATGTGCAGCGCGAGCGTTCCCGTTGAAAGACATGCTGTAGCGTCAAGTGGTCGGGCTGTTCTGAGGTTCCAGTGTGTGCGGAACAGCTTTTTTGTTTTTCGTGAGCAACAAGTCTCCCATTCTTGGGACTCCATTGGTGCTATTGAAAGGATGTAGTCCATGTCAAATGCTCCCAGTTCACTGGCCGAAACCGCTGTTGGAGCGCTCCAAAGCTTTCTTCAATTGCCCGGAACTTGCAATTTTGGAGGAGACCGGGGAGGATGTGTCCTCAATGCAGGTCCAACCCTGGATGACTCCAAAGTGAAGAGAATGGACTGACGATTTTTGGGATGCCTTGCTTTAACCCATCCTTTTTTATATGACATCATCAATCCCAAGCCACCTGCATGCTGGTGGTCCAAAGCTCCTCTTGGCTTCCATTCCCACAGCGGTCGCACGCTAACATGCCACTGCGATTGGCAAAGCTGCCTAGGGTCAATGATGGTGAACAAAATCGTTTGGGGGGCGGGATGTAGTTTTGGAGGGGGTCATGGCAAAACTGCGAGGACTGCGAGGACCAGAAACCCTTTTCTCTCTGGCTTTCCAAGTCCTTCGATGCAAAGCGAAGGACTTAGTCGCTGTGAGTCTGGTACATTCGGTCCGGTAGGATGAATCTAAAACAACTATCAACAAGTTACAGGCAACCCACAAAACACTCACTGATGATGATCAATGATCACGTATATAAGTATATATAATGATCTTGTGTAAACAAGAATCAGAAATAGACGTTGTCAAACACACGCTGCTCGGGTTCAGTGCAACCGCTCTGTCCAACAACGCTCCTCTGCAGCAAGGTGACCCAAGCTGCAGGGCGTGCAATGATGCGAGCCCGCTTCGGAGGAGATGGTCCCAGGCTCACAGGGCAAACACTCGGCAGCGCGGAAGGAGTTCCTACGTTCCGGCGCAGAAGGAGTTCCCGGGCCGGGGTGATGGGGCACAAAGCAAAAGTGGGGAGTGGGGTGGAGTAGTGAAGAGAGCATCAGGGGAGATGGATGGGGATCTTTTACCAGAAGAATCTTGCTTTGAAACCAAGAACATCTCTTCCGCATCCATCCTTCATCCCCAGTTCAAATCGCTTGTAAATCACCAAGGCGCTGGTAGAAGCCGGGCTGGCATTTGGAGCACACCCGAGTCGACTGGCTCTTCAAAGAGGCGAAGCCCGGAGGACACACCGCGCAGTTGACCGCCTCGCTCCTCAGTGAGACCTCGGAACCCGGAGAGGTCATCCTTCGGTTCGGTGGAAAATGGCCCAGCATTGATCCATGGGGAAGGGGTTCTCGAAGTTCTCAAAGCTGCCTTTCTGGTCATGTTTTTCTTGTGAAAATGGAGCAAAAGCAAAGCGAAGCCGGTGGTGCTAGTGGGCGCTGAAAAAGCTTGTGGTGGACTTCATATAAGAAACCTTTGCAAGCAATCTACCAATGTAGTGATTTCATCTACATCACGCCCTTAGAAAGTGCTGAAAAGTGGCGGGAGGAGTGCTGAAACCAAAAGCCTACCAGATTGATTCTCTGCCGGCAACTCCAACCACACCCCTTCTTCTGGGCCAAACGGTTGTAGCTACCAACCAGAAACCCTGGGCACGGGACTGTGAACGAAACATTTGAGCCTTCTGGACCACAATCAGCGCAAGATGTTTTGTTTGTGATTGTAAAGATGACTGCATGTCACTTGAGATGCTTGCTTTTGAGGTGAGTCCAGGTTCACAGGTTCGCATACCGCAACCGTTTCCACCTCCAGACGGGTGGGACTTACGTCTGGAAAAGGGTGCGCCGTTTGCCGCTTTCGCGTGGCATCTTTTTCTTCGAGCTGATCGACTTCGGGTGCGATCGTTTGCTTCGCATTGGTAGCGGAGCTACGGCTCCTTGCGACCTTTGTGTCTTCACCTTCGAGGTCCTGCGGAAGACCTACGTCACGAACGCTTTGCCGAGCTCCTGGCCCTCCTCGAACCAGAGCACATCGGTGAAGCCTGCACTTCATGCCACCGACGACTACGACGCAGGCTGCAGAAGCCCAGAGCGCAGATTACCAGAACCTGCGCGACTCCTACGTTCCGCTGTTCAATGGCCAACCATCCGAGTACCGTGAGTACCGCAAGCGGCTCCTCCTCTACCAGAAGAAGATGCTCCTCAGCAAGAGGGGCGGTGAAGCCGTCTTGAACATCCTTGGTTCATTCCAAGGGGTGGTTTGGCGCCTCTTCGAGGATTATCCTGTTGAGGATTGTGAGAAGGAGGGGGCATTCAGCAAGATCTTGGAACGCCTTGATCGCAACTTCGAGTACGACGACAGGGTCCTCCTTCCGAATGACTTTGAAGGCTACTTCACCAACCTCCAGCGAAAGCCTCAGCAGAGCTTGCTCTCCTTTGTCACCGACCATGACGAGGCCTACAGGAAGATCACCGGCCACAAGATCACGCTCCCAAGTCAGGTGCAGGGATGGCATTTGCTCAAACGAGCCAGCCTCACACGTGAACAGAGACAGATGGTGACACTGAAAGCACCGACCTTGGAGAAGCCTTCGGTTGTTGAAGCGTTGTTCCTCCTGTATGGGCAGGACTACAAGGCTGGTGGATGGTCCAACTCCCATGACCGACGGCCTCAACGATGGAAGGGACGCGGCTATGCTGCCTACGATGAAGAGTCTCACGACCCTGCTTGAGAAGAGGCATACTACGAGGAGGATTGGTATGAGAATGAAGAGCCCTATGTCCCCGAGTATGAGGAGACTGCCTTCGATGAAGACGCTGTCTACTTTGGTGGCGATGATGACCCCAATGACGACCTTGAAGGTCTCGAGGATGATCCCTCTCAGATGGCCGAAGCCTATGATTCAGCCTATGCCACCTACGTTGATGCTCGACAGCGCTTCAACCAGCTCAAGCTCGCCCGCGGCTACCTGCCGGTGGTTGCTCTCACAGATGGACAGACTCCAACCTCGCCTACATCATCAACGTCCACTGGAAAAGGGCGAGACAAAGGCCGTGGAAAAGGAAAGGGCAAATCCAAAGGCAAGGGATCAAATGTGATCCGCTATCCACCCTCCACTGGTGGCAAGAGCGATCCCAAGGGCCGAGCGAAAGCCAACATGACCTGCCTTCGCTGTGGACAGGTGGGCCACTGGGCGGCCAACTGCCCTCAGAACCCCAAAGGAAGTTCATCACCGAGCAACAAGCGGCCAGCACCAAGCACCACGACCACCGAAGGAATGGCCCTGCAGGCCGAACAGGCCATGCTGCTCTTCCAGGATGAGAACGGCCTCGACCATCCAGAAGCCACTATGCTGGATCCTGGTGCCTCAGCCTTCTTGAGTGGATTTGGTCCTTTCAAGCGCTACGTGCAGCATCTCAGCGAGATTGGCTATCCGGTCAACACCATCCGCTTCGCTCGCTGCGAACGGCAATTTCAGTTTGGTGGCGATGCATCCTCCAAAGCCAGCTGGACGGTCGACTTGCCCGTTATGATTGATGGCCAGTATGGAACCATCCAGTGCTACTTGGTGCCCGGCAACACGCCTATGCTCATGGGTCGACCAGTGATTGAGGCCTTGCATATGAGCATCGACTTCAGTGGCAAGAGAGTTCGCTTCGGCACCTCACCTTGGCAGTCAGTCCTGATTGGCCGACACGGTGAGTATCTGCTCTCACTCACCGCTGGCATGGATAGCACCGCTGAGCCCACCAAGGTGAACTTCAGCCTGAACATCGCAGAGGAAGTTCCGGGCAGTCATCTCCACCTTCAGGACTTCAACCAGCTCGAGAACATCTTCCTTGCTGATGAACAGCTGCTCAAGGACAACGGCATGGACTATGCCTATCAGACTCTGAAGCGCCATCAACTACACACCATGGAGCTTGGCCTTCTTCAGGCGACCAAGCAGACTGAGGCCTACGTCACTGCTGAACTGCATCGTGAGGAAAGCCCCAAGCGAGTTCTCTGGGAGATCTATTGTGGTCACAGCCGCACCTCACAGCTTGCCGAGACTATGGGAATGGCTGTTGAGCGCTTCAGTCTTGACAATGGCTGGGACTTCAACCTGTTGGAACACCAGAAGCAACTTCTGGCCCGTCAGGCCGAGGAGATGCCTGATGAGATCTTGTTGGCCCCTGCGTGCAAGCTATGGTCAAAGATGCAGACGCTGGCATGTCGCACTGATGCCCAGCGAGAGGCTTTGATCGCCAGTCGAGAACATCACCATCGACGACACCTTCTCTTTTGCAAGAGGGTCTACATGGCTCAGGTTGAAGGCGCTCGACATGTCCATCTGGAACAGCCCAAGCACGCCCTCAGCTGGCAGAACAAGGCTTTGAAGTCTTTGCCTGGCTATGCGGCCGAGTTTGACCAATGCCGCTACGGAGCACAATGCCTTGATGATGATGGTGAGTGGAGACTGACACAGAAACCCACTCGGATCCAGACGACAAAGAAGTCAGTTGCTGAAGCACTTCATCTTCGATGTCAACATGACCATCCTCACTGCCGCTTGGAAGGAAGCGCCCCTGGCTTTGGTTCTCGCACCGCCTACATGGAGGACTATCAGCCTGGCTTTGCTGCGACATTAGCTGCTGCAATCTCTCTTCCTGAACCACCTCACCATTGGGAAGCCGCCCTGGCAGTCAGCTCAGCAAGAGCCACTGGTCATTTGGTCAAACTACATTCAGAACGTCGAGCCGACGCCCTGAGGACGGTGCAGAGATTGCATTGCAACCTGGGACATCCATCAGCTGAAGCCCTCACCGACCTGCTGGTTGCTCGCAATGCCAGCTCGGCGGTCATTGAAGCCGCCCGGCACTACCGCTGTGTGGCCTGCGCCAAGTACAAGAAACCAAATGAGGCTGCTCCTTCATCAATGCCCCAGAGCAGACGCTTCAACGATACTGTCCAAGCTGATGTCTTCTACTTGAAGGTCAACGACCGCAAATGGTCAGTGCTCAGCATGGTGGATGTCGGCACTCGCTTCATGGCTGCCTACTTGCTTGATGATGAGACCACCGACTCCTATGTGCACGCCCTTGAGAAAATGTGGTGCCGTCATTTTGGAGCACCCAAGACCTTGGTCACTGATGAAGGCCGATCCTGGCTTGGAGCCTCCATGGAAGCCTGGACGACGTCTTGGGGCATCGAACATCAAGTTGCACCAGGCGAAGCACATGAACGCCTGGCTCTTGTGGAAAGGAGACATGCAGTCTTGCGCAAGGCCATCGAGATCTACCTCATCGATCGTCACCTCACCAACAAGAAGGGAATTCGTGAAGCCATTGCTCACATAGTGCCACAACAGAACGGCACACCTTCGGTTGCTGGATTTTCACCTTCGCAATGGGTCTTGGGCTACCAGCCGGAACTCTCCACGCTCATGGATTCCAATCTCAATCCAGCTCAACTTGTTGGCACCAATGAGACCTTTGAGGCCAACCTGCAACGCCGAACCGCTGCCAAGATTGCCCTGACAACAGCAGATGCAGACAACAAGCTGCGCCGCGCCCTTGGACGCCGCTATCAAGGGCAAAACAAAGAGTTCCACCTCGGTGAGAAGGTTTGGTTCTGGCGCGATGCAAGACAAGGCTTGCTCAACAAGATTCGCTGGCTCGGACCTGCACACGTGGTCATGCGAGAAGAGCAATCCAATGGAGAAGGCAACAAGCCCACAGTCAAGACCTACTGGCTGGCATACAAAACACAGCTCATTCGAGCAGCACCACATCATGTTCGGGGAGACATCTTGGGTCCTGATCATGTCATCGACGACCTGCAGAAGGCCTTGAATTTGGTGCGCCAGTTGAAATCTCGTGGAGTCACCCGATGGTATGACCTGCAACGAGTGAACAGGCAACGCCTGGATGATGTTGATGACGATGAACAGCTGGATGATCCACATGGTTCGTTGGACGATGACTCACAAGGTCCACCAGCTCATCGACCTCGTCTACAGCCACCTATGGATGATGATTTGCAGGCAGAAGAGTACGAGCCCACCTCTCCGGCACATTCGGGGCATGCTCCAACGTCGCCAACTGGAATCATGGCACCACCTCTGGCCGAGCAGGAGATTCCTGAAGCTCAGGTCCCTGAACCTCAAGCTGCTGCAGTGCCTGTTCCTGATTCATTGCCAGCTTCACCGACTTCAAGGAGGTCACGTTCACCACCTCTGAGTCTTCCAGAGCCTGGGGCTGAGCCGACAGTGCCAACACCACATCATGCACAACCACCTCCACCAGCTCTGGATCCAGCAACTGCTGCCTTGTATGACACCGTTGATGCCGAGACCTTCCAAGAGCGACGAAATCGCTTCAATCGACAGGAGACATTGAGCTTTGGTCCCTGGCGAGGCAGACCACATCCTGCCATTGATCCTTATCCGACAGCACCTCCGTCTTCGACAGCAGAGCCCACGCCACCTACGGCAGATGCAGAGTTGGAAGCCGCCCTTGCTTCGCAAGACTTCATGATCAACGAGCTGGTGGCCAACTGCTTGCCTCGTGGCTGGTCCTTTGAAGAAGGTTACTTCCAATTGGACAAGCATCCCGTTGACTACTGGGAAGTTCGTGCTGGTTGCATGATTCGCCATCATGTCGTACCTCGTCGGCAGAAGATGAGCTTGACACACCTGCCAAAGGATGCACCTTTCCCGGCAGTTCAGCTGGATAATGTCAGGGTCACCGTGGTCTATGCCACCAATGGACACTGTCAGCAGTTCACAGATGATGGTATGTGCGCCTCACCTCCCACGAGCTCTTCCTGGACAGGTGTGACCGTGTTCCAAATCAAAGGTGATGTTCGGAAGGAGCTTGCCATGTATGTGAAAGAACCTCTGGTCGGAGCACGTCAAATGGGAAAGATGACCAAACAGCGCCATGTAAAAGCGTTCAAGAAGGACAAGAACAACTTGACCGAGAGAACGATGACTCCTGATGAGCGAGCTCAATTCAAAGCTGCAAAAGTGAAAGAGCTCAAGTCCTTCTTTGAGAACCAGGTCTGGACCTTCGAGAGCGTGAGAGAAGCTGAACCCGCTCGGACACTGACGAGCCGGATGCTGCTGAAGTGGTCGAAGAACCCGGACGGAACGCCAAGAGCAAAGGCAAGACTCATCGTCCGTGGCTTCCTGGACCCAGATGCTTGGGATGGCACTGTGCCCACTTCATCGCCGACCACGACACGGCTCTCTCGTTCCTGTTTGCTGAGCTTAGCTGCAACTATGAGATGGCCGGTTTGGACATCAGACATTGCCACCGCCTTCCTGCAAGGAAAACCTCAGAGCCGAAAACTATGGGTTCAACTACCTCCTGAATGCCTGGAACTGTTGGGAGCCCCTGCCGACACTCGGATGCTTCTTCTGAAGCCCTGCTACGGCCAGATCGACGCTCCACGTTCCTGGTACATGGCTGCTGTGGACAAGCTGCTGGACATGGGTCTGAAGCAACATCCTCAAGATCCATGCTGTTTCCTGGCATACGAAGCTGACCTCAATCCGAGCTTCGTTGTGGATCAAGAACAGCCACACCTGCTGGGACCTTGCGGCCTTTGTGGTATGATCATCATGCATGTTGATGACATGTTGGGCTGCGGTTCTGAAGATTCTCAGGCCTATGGATCGATGATCTCCAAGCTGAAGACCACCTTCAACTTCAGAGAGTGGAAAACCGGACAAGATGGCACTGATTTGTCGTATTGTGGCTGTGACATCCAACTCACGGACAACAAGGGCTACAAGATACAACAGGACAACTATATGAAAAAGATCAAGCCCATCACAATCGACAAACGCCGTGATGTCAATGAGATCATCTCCGAGCGCGACCTGACACAACTTCGAGCATTGCTTGGTTCGCTCCAATGGCCTGCAGTCCAATCAAGTCCACATCTACAAGGAAGCACCTCGATCCTGAGTGGTCAGGTCTCCAAGGCCACCAACCAGACTTTGATGGATTGCAACAAGCTCCTGAAGTTCAGCAAGGACAACTCCGATGTTGGGTTGGTGTACGAACACCTTGGCGAAGTCCAGGACTTACGCCTCCTTTGCTTCTTTGATGCAGCATTCGCCACGCGGACCGATGGCAGCTCCCAGCTTGGCTACATCATTTTGATGGTCAACAAGTCCCTCCTTCGTCCTGATGGTGTTGAAGGGGCATACCACATCCTCGACTGGAGAAGCCAGAAGACTCCTCGAGTCGCTCGGTCATCGCTTGGCGCTGAAGCCCAAGGAGGTGGTCAGGCATGCGACGCCCTGGAGCATGTCTGTGTTTACTGGAATTGTCTGCTTGACCCTCGTCGGAAGCTCAAGGAGTTGCTCGACTGCAAGTCCACCCTGGAACCAACGATGATCACGGACGCCAAAGCCTTGTATGATTCATTTCATCGAGAAGGCTACAGCAGCTCCGTTGTGGACAAGCGAGTCTCGCTGGAGGTGAAGGTGATGAAAGAAAGACTCCTCGCCCTTGGAGGCAACCTCAGATGGATGTCATCTGAGAGGCAACTGGCTGATGGCCTTACAAAAGAAAGCGCCCGTGGCTTGCTGGCTGAACGCTTGCGCTACGGAAAGCTGAAGCTCATCTGGGACCCAACGTATAAGGCCGCCAAGAAGAAGACCAAAGATGAGCTGAAAGCCAGTCTGCAGGAGAGCACTTTCAGTTCACCGCCTTTGGATGAACCTCATCAAGCACTTCCCACAGCTGGCACTGAGCTCCCTGAGAATGACTCCTTCCCCGATGGCATGCCTGAGTATGAGGACCACATTGAATATGCCCACATGGCAGTCACGAATGCCACAGTCTCTTACCTGCTTGAGGCTTGTGAGTATGCCCTGGTTTCTGAAGAGACCTTTGTGGTACTGAATGACCACCCGGTAGTTCCGAGCCATGGCGTGCGCTGGCCCCTTTTGGCCTATGAGCACCACCTCCGGAACCTCATGGTGTGGACTATGATTCTGCTGCTGCTGCCTGGTGTCGCTGCTGACACCACTGGAGGATCAGCAAATCCAACTGGAGGAGACAGCTTCATGATGATGCTGTGCACTGTGTGTTGCTTGCTCCTTGGCACGTTTTTCATGCTGGGCCGATGCAGTCGTGCCGAAGTTCACGTACCTGCCTTGGCCATGTCCTCCCATGCTGCGACCCAGACTGACGAAACACCAGTCACACGCAGGTTGAGGGCAGAGATTGAGGAGTGGCAGCTGCGCGCTTTGGAGTACCAGTCTGCGGCGATTGAAAGCAAGAAGGCCACCGACCTGGCCATCGCCAATATGAACTATGCTGGAGAGCTGATGTATCGAGCCGCCGCGATCCTGCGCCGGTGCCTGGCTGAGATGGACAGCCATAGGTTGGAGTGCCCACTCCACCGTGGAATCTATGTGGCAAAGCATGGCCGCAAGCTCCACATCGATCCTCGATGCAGCTCCCTCGAAGGCCGTGACCAGAGGAACGTAGATTTGTTTGAACCTTGTGCCTTGTGCAGTGGCCGCATTTTGCCGCCAGATCATGTCCAGATCTCAGGAGGCTCGAGCCTCCGAACTGCGATTTGCACTTGGCTGGAATCACGCAGCCTCAGCGATGAAGGCGCGGTTTCCATGGCAGACTCACCTGCAAGCTCCTTTTCCCCCGTGTAAAGATGACTGCATGTCACTTGAGATGCTTGCTTTTGAGGTGAGTCCAGGTTCACAGGTTCGCATACCGCAACCGTTTCCACCTCCAGACGGGTGGGACTTACGTCCGGAAAAGGGTGCGCCGTTTGCCGCCTTCGCGTGGCATCTTTTTCTTCGAGCTGATCGACTTCGGGTGCGATCGTTTGCTTCGCAGTGATGTTTATAGATTCCAATATAGATTTTGGTGACAGCCTGACTTTACACGTAGAAAGCACAGTCACAACAAGAAAGATAGATGGAGACACTGAAAACAGGCGCGTCTCCGTAGAGAGACTAGCTAACACATCCTAAGGGATCTCTCTCTCTCTCTCTCTCTTTTTTCTCTCTCTTAGGTTGGAGGCCATCCCTTTGAGGTTGGAGGCCATTGCTTCTAGAGGCCATCTCTCTCTCTCTCTCTATTCAGACGCACCGCGATCCAAGAGGCAAAGTTGTTTTGCAGATCCACCAGGCCTCGACGACCCGAGTGTTCCGAGTGTGAAAACACTCGGGTTCGCGAGGACTCGGTTCGCGAGGGATCCCAGTGGCCTTTTTGGGGAGGCGGGTGAAAAACCACAAAGGCGGTTTTTGAGCGGAAAAAAACATGTGGAAATATGTCTGGCAAAGAGAACAAACCAAGTTGATTTGACCTTCTACATAAGATCCTATTTCGGTTGACCCAATGCTACAACCGAATGCGCCAAGAGTGCCTGCCCGATGATTGACTGAAAGGGCAGTGTGCATGGGGCACCTCCTCGCCACCAACAACCCCCAACTAAGTACTGCAATCCAAATCAACTTCAACTACACTGCTACACTCCTGGCGATGTGGTCACAACGCTCCTGAGGAACATGTGGAACCACAGTCCTGTGGTCCAAACACATCCAAACAAATCATCTAGGTCGGGCAAAGTGGGGCCCCCGCGTGATGGGCACTGCCGAGGGCACTGCCGAGCGCGCAGCGTGCAGATTCAAGCATAGTGACGCGACGGTCGAACGGCATTTTTGTTCAAGATGGTTCCCATTGGGATCTGAAGATGAGGCGAGCCAATTGAATCCTAAACGAGCTCCAGCTACCTTCTTTTGGAGCTGTTTTGGGGTGGTCTCGCCACCTCCAAAAGCTGTCGGATGCGTGCAGTCGCTCCCTCCCGCGCCGGATGCGGCGGCCCCGCCTTTACCCACGGCGCAAACCGTTTGATACGGAACCCAACTTTGCCACGCATCTGTGTTCGACAAAATCCACCTGCATGTGCGGCGCAGCCGCGGCTTCGCTGGATATCATGTTACTAGGAACGGCCTCCGCCCTAATAGTAATGGTCTCTAACCTAGTAGCTTCTTGTTACTAGCTGAGCTTGGAGATGATTTCTGAACGCGTTGGTTTTTTGGGAGATATTTGTCTTCTGTGGTACGGGATGCCCCAGAAGGTTTTCAACACCTAATCCGGTGGGCATCTCTCGCGTTCTGAAGCAACATGAGTCAAAAAGAAGAACAAAAATAGGCACGCCGTGCATGACCATCAACGATCGATCTGCTTGTTGTCTGGCCAAATACACCCACGACCCACGACAGTGCAATCGTCTTAAAGACTGCATCGATGCTCAACGATTTAGACCCTGAAATCTTCATTCTTCGGCGCTTGGAACCCCAAACACTGGACACGATTGGAAAGCCCTTCGAGTCGAAACTGATCGCTAAAGGATTGCTAAGCCTCCGTGGTCACCAAACGACGATCCGGGCGGATCCGGGTGTCCCGGCCTACAGGCAGTGTCCCAGGTCTCGGGTGCTGTCCCATTGTTGACCGCTTGGCTCTGGGCATGGAGGTACAGCAAGTTCGCCATGTCGCCATCCCCGATGTTCAGATTCCTCGGACAACAGAGAAGATGTGACGGGCGTGGAGGCGTGCCAGAGCGAAGACGGGACGGTGCTGCCGGGGGAGACGGAACGACACGGGACAGGGCGATGTCGGGTTATTGAACGTGCGGCGCCGGGGGTGGAGGCAGATTCTTGAGTCTGCTTGGATGGGAAAGTGCCTAACTCTATGCTTGGTTTCGAGTAGGCTTAGGATGAACTGGAAGATGAACTAGACGCCACCAAAATATAATCATGAATGGATGGATGATTGAAGGATGTGAACCTATGTCCTTCGTAATTATCCTCTGTTTCCGCCCCGACAGCCCTTCAGGACCCTGACAGCCGTGCTACGGACGTTTCTGTCTCCGTCCAAGAGGCTCTGCCAGTCCATAGACTCGATCTGCCACCACATCCAAGCCGGCAGCCGCATACTTCCGCAAGGTCAGTTCCTGGAGCGACCAGATGATGACAGCTGTTTTTTCAGCGTCGTAGCTCGTGACCCTGGCATCAGTTTTTTAACGGATTTCTGCGGTGCAACCACCGAAGAACCACTGTTTAACGAAACAAGTTTAGACTACAAAACCAGCTCAACGCAGCTCCAAAACACAGGGTTCCGCAACCGGACACCTTTTAGTTTCGTCCACCCTGTGGGTCGAGGTTCGGGGACTCAAGGACCCGACCCAGTTCACCGACTCACGCGCAGCGTGACGTCGATGCGAGACTTCGGTCTCGCGTCGCGTCGTCACTGGCCACGTCTGGAGCAACAATCCACGTATGCACGATAGCCAGCTGTAAACCGCAAGTTGTAAACATTTGTCTTTTGGCCGGTCAGGAATCACATTCACCAACGGGGATTTTTTCACATATGCGTGATTCGGATGTGCAAAAGCTGCCAGGAACTCACAGCACCACCAAACGATGGCTGCGGGCTGTCCTTTTGGGAAGTCCGGTAGATGCCAGCCTTGTACTCCGACACGCTATGGGATGGGAAGACCACCGCCATCCCGCGTTGGAGCACAAAAGTCTCATCAGGCCTCCACCAGTATAATGCCGACCTCAGCATCGCAGAACAAGCCCCACCCCAAGCTTGAGGGATTTAGACCCTGTTTGGATGGAGAGCCACACCCTGCTCCTAGGGGCGGCGTGCCAGGTTGAGCTGCTCATTTGGGACATTAGCAAATTCGTCCTCTCCACGGGCGTCATGCACCTCTTCGATCACAACTCAAAACAAGGAAGGAAAGCAGCAGAAGGATGTCAATCCCCATCTCCAGTGCATAGAACAATAGATTGTGATTGCCCCAACCCCAATTTGGACATGTGGAACCCAGATGACCTGTCATGCAAAGCTGCAAGAAAAGTGCAAGACTTCCTTCTCCTTCTCAACACCCCCCTTGCCTTCACAGCTCATGGAGAAGGAGGCCCAGTCACCAGTCGCTCAGCCTTCCCGCCACCAGAACCTCCGGGGGGGTGTGGCCACCAGTCACTCGCTCAAATCGGTCGCTCAGTGGCTGGAATTCGAGGTTGATATCGATGTACTCCTCCCACTCCGCAGAGGCAAAAGCCAGTGGCATGTTGTGAAAGTAGGCCTGCTGGATCATGAAGTGCAGGCCCCAGCCCGCACCTGCCGCGGTCTTCTTCACACACGCTGCCCCAATGCAGGATCCCATCTCCCACTGTGGGCTTTCCAGTTCGGACGGCGAGCGTATCTCCCGAGACGCTCGCAGGAGGAATCCAACAGCACCGAATACACTCCCTGAAACACTCACGCAAGTGAAACAGTTTGGCCCCTGAATGACCCTTTTTCCTCTATAAGGAGCTCCTCAGCTTCCATGTTGATGTTTGTTGGAGGGGTAATCATTCTCGGGCTGCAGGTAATTCCCCTCCACTCTTCGCACCACCACGAAATCCGATTCACGCGATCGGTCCGATAGGCCCATCATTCACCAGTTAACCTGGAGAGACCTCCCATTCCCTGATCATATGGCTTTAAGATTCTGAATATATATATATATATATAAGCTAATACGTAATTACTTTAATTTTTCTTGAAGCCCTATGTGGCCGGAAGACCTATCAACACACCTACTAGCTACCCACCTGAAGTCACCACGGCCACGCAGTTGGAGGCGTTGCCACGGCAGCTGGGCGCCACAAACCAGCGTTCCTGGAAGCATTTCAGCACCAACCGGCCATCCACCTGCTGTCCGACAGCGACCGGAAGGTGCAGCGGAAACGGAGGTTTCTTGGAGTGTGATGGATTGAGAGCGCAGAGAGGAAAAATCGGAGCTGGGGGCTCCACATTTTGAGAGAAATCGATGGCCAAATGGGCTAAAGCTCACCAGAAAAATTTAACTACCTAGATCAGAGTAGGATTAGATCAGAGCAGGGTCGCATGAAATTTTATGTGTTTCTAATTTTTTGCATGTTTTCAAATGTTTTGACCAATTTTCCACATGTTTAAACATATTTTCGCATTTTAAAGTATTTTTCACCTTTTTTCACATGGTTTCATTTTATTTTGTGTTTATTTTAAAGTTACTATTTTTGGGGAAAACACCTCAAACACAACATGGTTAATCAAATTGTGTTTCTTGGGGAGAAGTTATCCTAACAGCTGAACACAACTGACTGCAGCAGTCATATCACGCTCCAGTTTGCATGTGAAATTATGTTTTTGCATCTTTTTGCATGTTTTTGCATATTTTCTCATGTTTCGAGATTTGTCGAGATTTCTTGAGATTTTTTGAGTTGTTAAAATGTTTTTTCCTGTTATTCCCTCGAGATTTTTTGAGATGTTTCGAGATTTTTCGAGATTTTTTGATATTTTTTGAGATGATTGTTGCTAAGATTTTCATTTAAAACATATTGTTGCATGTTTTTGCATTTTAAATCTCTTATCGAGATTTTAAATCTCTTTTGAAAGTCTTCCATTCCAAGACCTCTTCGGTGAAGGTCATTGAATTTTTTTTGGTGAAAAGCTGATTCTGCTGATTGAGGGTGATTACACGCCAAAGTGTGATGATCTCAGCATGTGCCAGGTCATAGGTGACGCGGTCACCTGCTTTGGAAGATGAAGTTCTGTGATTAGCAGCTGGGAAAAATACATGTGATCGATCGAAAACTCGTCTGCATTCTCGAGTGTTATGCCTCGCTCCAGTCGATCACACACTGTGGAGGACGCTGGAACAAAGTGGGTCTCCACAGGGTCGTTTCCAAGGCCTTCAAAAAGACTGTAGTCGACAGTGAAAAGTGCGTTCCCCTAGCACGAACGAAAGGCCACACAAGGTCATACGGTCGCACGAGGACACGGTCTGCCGATGGATTTGGAGATCTCTTCGGTGCCAGATCGCTTCCGGCATCCACCGTGAAACACACGGTGCATGCCGAACCCGTGCCGAGGTGGGTGCCGAGGCAGGTGCGGCAGACTGGGTTCGAGAAAAAGGAGATCGAGACCAAAGGGTTCGAAACCAAATCACCCCCAAACGATTGCGGTTTCACCTTGTTTCCCTTCTTGGCATGCTCGTGGTGATTCCGCTGGTGTTGGTCCGAAGAAAGAGAACCCCCCAGTGGTCGCGTGAAAACGCTGTGGAAGAACGGTCAGCCTCCTCAGTGGCTTGGGTGTCACCCGTCGCCCTCACGTACTCCTGAGGTGGCAGAAGGTCGGGGGTGTCGATTTGCAGTGTCAACACCCCAGTGTCATCACAGGTCTCCTCGTTCGATATGTTTCTTCTTTGGGAGGTCAAACCCAGTGGTGTGATTCGGACCCTGGGGGCTTCCAAGTTAGCAGAACACTAAACCAGTCAAGAAAAGAAATAGTGGTGAGATTCTGCAGATTCTGCTGACCTTGTTTGAGGCCGCACTGCGGCCTTTGCCTGTGCCTAGAGTCGGCTCCCAAGGCAACTGACCTGGAGCCTCAAAAGGACGAATTTGAAGAGGACGATTCAACCCAATGGTGGATCTCTGGAAGTGTGCATTTTGGGAACTGCTAGGAATGGAGCAAAGAACACTGACGAAATACAGCCCCAGAAGTTTGCCATGTTCGAAGAAACTAGCAGTCCCCCAAGCAACTTCCCTTTCGTCTTCCGATTCGTTCATACGTTCCTTTCCCAGGCTGCACCTACGACCCGGTCTCCCATCCTTGGCGTACTCGGGGTGGAAGAAGTTCACTCCCACCGTGCAGTTCATGACCCGGTGAGGAGCAATCATGGCCACGGTGGCTGCGTAGCGGTCAGGGTGGAACCAGCTGGCATTGAAGTTGCTGTAGTAGGAGAGCTGCAAGCCCGTCTCTGCCTAGCAATTCGATCAGGCCGAGCTTCGGATGAAGACCAATAGCAGGGCGCTCATGAGTAGTTACCAAGACATGGGAAAACGCTGGCATGTTTATCTTGTACTTGGAGGTACTTGGCATCTTTGGTTCCTCCCAACTTGACAAAGCCAAAAAAGACCAAAAAATGCACCAAGAAAACGCTAGCGCTCGAGGCCGAACCCCACCTGACATCTCTCCCTGGCATCCTGCAAGATGTAGACCCCGTCGTAGCCGGAGTAGCCTGCAGAGCCCAAGTTCACCGGCGCGAACTCGCCCATCTCGCGAAAGATCATGTCCCATTCCACCGTCACCTGAGCTCAGGTCCCGAAACCCAGCTGACGGACGTCACCGCGCGCCCTGTGGGGGAGGGGCGAAAACTGCGGGGCACCGTGCCGTGCTACGGCACCTGCGATTTGTCTCTGCTCTCTGCTCCGGGTCACGGTGTCTTCCCAGTTCTCCAAGGTGAAATGAGACCTCCTGGGGTCTGTCCGGCACTGGCTGAAGTTCGTCATCGAGGGCGGACAGCCCCCCCAAGGTTCGAATCATCTCCTAGGTGTGTCGCGCGGCGGGAGGTTCGACGCCCGTGTCCAAGTCGTTTTGATCCACCTGCCCATCTTCAGGGTCCTGCCAGACAACTCAGGTTGGAGGAAGCTTGTGTGTGTGTGACTTCACAGTGAAGGTGCAGGGGAAAAGCAAGGATGGGCACTGAAACCCCAAGACGAAAATGAAGCACCACTCTCAGTATATAGAGGAAAGCCCTCTTCCTTACCATCCCCGCCAATTTGATGACTCTGTCCAAACCCCAAAGTATCTGAACCACAGGATAGGTCACATCCCAGCTGGGTCTTTGGTCGAGCACAGGTCACACGGCAACAGTCAAAACCAGAAACGACAAGGACCCTGATGTTCTTGAGGGGAAAGCCAGGTAGAACGAAAAGGGAATCTTTGGTGGGAGCAGGATATCTTGGAACCACGGCGAAGGCCTGTTACGCCTATTGTCATTCACCAAGTGTCCGCACTGCCACTTTCGCGGTTATAGACCTCAGGGATGTTTGAACCGTGCGGTGGTCCACGCGGTGAATTATCAGGCAAAGAAAAGGCTCTGCTCTTGTTTCATTAGGTCAGCTTCTTGTTCCTAGTAGTAACAAGTGCCACGGTAGTAGTAACAGGTGCCTTACTAGTAGTAACAAGAAGCTAGTAGAAACAATTCTTCTTGTTACTACTAGTAAGGCACCTGTTACTACTAGCGTGTCATGATCTTCAGCTGGTGAACAAAAGGAGACACCGATCGTGAGTCGACTCTTTTTGAGCAGCATCATGCCATCTCACGTGTTCTTCACCTCATCATCTCCCTTTTCAAACGAGAGTCTCACCTCTACATACACCACCTACCGTCAGCTTACCCGCAGTTGCCATGTGCCGCCGGGCTGCCACGTGGTATCCCGCTACTTCTTCGACGAGAATCCCGAAGACCTTACTCACCAGCTCGTTGGAGTTCCAGGTTCCATAGGCAACGCCCACGGGCATGGACCGTCCATCAACCGTGATGTTCAAGCGCTGCTCGAACGGGATGGCATTCTCCAGGCAAGCGCCCCATGCTACACGAGCAAGGGCGCACCAAAGTATCCTCAACATGTTTTAAACATGGCTGGCCCTGAGCAGGCCCTGAACCGACATGTCGCGTACGCGACGGGTCGTCGACGGTTCCCTAGGTCGCCCCGTGAACTCGCCGGTCAGTTGCACAACATCCTCGTGAGGCAGAAGAAAAGCCGAGTCAGACTTCCACGATTTGTACAATCCTGGATAGTGGCACAACAAATCGAGGATATATCCAGGATTGAAAACTCTATCCAGGATTGTATTTATGGTTCCTGCATTTCTGGTTCGTTTATAGTGTTCAGTGGTACAAAAACTGGATAGAGTGTTCAGTGGCACAAGCAACTGCTGTTTTGACGACTTCACCGAAACAACTCAAAGCTGGAGTGGGCACCCAGGTTATTTAGGAACATCAGCTTGGAACCTCAGCACAGACCGCACCAATAGATGTAGTGAGGGTCCAATACAAAGGAGAAGAAGACGAGGGCTTGCGATAGTTCTAAGGCCATACGAAGTATGAAGAAGTTCGTTCGCAATGCCCCTTTGTGTGGTCCAAAAAAACATGTCTCCCGGGTGATAGCATCACCTGGCAAAAGCTGGGGTAGGTACCATAGCTCCAGGTGTTTGGTTTTGACACCAATCAGTTGACCCCAAATCAGCCACCTCCTGGTGCGATTCCGCTCCGAGGAGGGCTGGTGGATGGTGCAGGACGACCGCACCTGGGCCGCGGTTCACGCGCCTGGAGGTTGGGGAACTTGCTGTAACTCCTTGGCTCCTCGTGGAGCCAGGGGACTGTGCATTTATGGATACTCCATGATACCCGCTCCTTTGCTCTCTCCTGGCTCCTGGCTGCACCAGCTAGTTAGAGAACCACCAAGAATACTCGCTAGTTATCGCACATCGGTGAACTAAAGCTCCAAAGTCGATGGCGATGCCAAATGGTTGCTTCTCCAATGGCCCTGAGTCTAACCAGCTCCTGCACTCCACATGATGGTGGAGTCAGTGTCCTTCATTTCTTGAGACTGGGTATACTGGCTGCCCATGCTATCTGCTATCTAATTCCAGTGAGTGGTTGGACACAAATGATTACCCTTATCCTTTAGAGTCCTTAGAGGCTGTTGCTGGCGACGGCGGAATCGATCATCTCTGCAGTGTGGTTTACACGTTGTCGAAGCTCTTGAGATGCCGAGAGGCCTCCGCTCTCTGTCAGATCCTTGACAGCCCGCGTCACCTTTCAAAAGGGCAGGTGGAGGCAGGGCAGGGGCAGGGAACTGGAGGCAAGGGTTTGGACGGATGCTCGTCCTCCACAGGGGTTTCTGACGCAAAACATGGACTAAAAGCAGACTGTCTGTTCCAGAGATAGGTTGGTTCCAGGCATCTTCCGCAAGGTAAATAGACCATCCAAAACACATAGCTGTGGGTCAAAAGCACCTTTGGTTGACCTACCCACGAGACTTGCGGACTCTGTCTGAGTGCTTTCCAAGACCCTTCAGGCTACATGGTGTTGGGGCTCCAGGGTTTGACCCATCCCGTCCCCATACATCCTCATTCTATTTATTACCACAAGCAGGTCGCCGACGGCAGACAGGCTGAGGTTCTCTAGAGCTCTCCATTCAAATCCTCCGCAGAGCCACAACTTTCTCTGAAGAACGCTCTTGAAGACTTGAGACGTTGACCAAAACGCCCCAGTTTCCATCGATTGCATCGAATGTTCTTCGATCTGCCCACCGCAGGAGGTCGGAACCGTCATCGGACATCCGAAGTCGTCACCCCACCCGCTCAGGCGCTTCGAGAGAGGTGACCGGCGCAGTGACGTCCAGATTGGGAGGGTCACCATGCCCAGGCACTTTGCCCCAGGCACCCAAGAGGCTTTCTGAAAAAGGGCGCAGAACTCGCGTTCCCGCCAGCAGCAGCGCAAGGTTCGCAAGGCCGATCTGCGCGGCGCAGAACTGCGCTGGGCGCAGAACTTCACCGCTGAACAGCGCTGATCCCATCGATGTCGGGCTCTTCAAGCGCGGCACAGGTCCGATTCGCTGCCGTCCTCGCTACTCGTCGAAGCCTCACACGGCCACGGCGAACTTGGGTGTCCTGCTGCGTCGAGGACGCCTCGCAGGAGTGTGGAGATCATGGCTTCGAAGAGATAGGCCACCAAGAAGAGGGTGAGCAGGTAGACTGGGATAAAGCATTGACCTCTTCGGCCGAAACCAGAAACTGCGGACTCTGCAAGGACTCTGCAATTAAACCGTTCTTGACAGGTTCCATGGAATGGACCGAGTGATTTAGATCCTTCAACTGCGGAGGGTTCTGCTGTCTTTAAGGTCCACTCCACCCTTTAACCCTTTCTTGACCTGTAGGTCTCCTCGAAACTGAGTGCAAGTCCCAACCAACAGGTGTCCATCTACTTTCGCACCCCAGTGGTTTGGTGTTCAGCCTGCCTAGACGCTCTTCCAAGTGCTCTCTCATGGCACTCAGCAGGTTCGTCTGGATGAGATACTGAGAGTACGAGATCCGCCCCAAGACTAGGCCCATCGGCGACTTGAGGAGAGGCACCAGAGGATCAAGCTCACTGGCACAGGCCAAGAGCAAGAGGCACATGAGGGGCAGAATTCCACCATTGTGGCAGAGATAGAAGATGGGCCCATCGGCAGCAAAGATGTAAAGAAGACACAGGTAGCATCCCAAAGCGATCGGGCTTCCGCATCCCAGGATCAACTTCAACCGGTGAGGTTCCTCACCCTGGCAGCAGATGAAGACCCTTGCCAGCACCACCCCGCTGAAGAAAACATGAAGATAGCCGGCCGGGCCGAACTTCAGGGCGGTCATGGTGAAGACGCTCTGGCCATAGCTAGATCCTGCGGGGTGTGAGAGGCCTTTACTGAGTGGAGTAAGAATGAGATATCCAAGGAGGGTGAAGCCCTGCGACCCCAAATGTGATGTGCCTGGACTGTCGGACTTTCGTGAAAGCTTTCTGAACCCACTTTAGCCTGTGTGGAGAAGGCCGAGCATATTTCATGATCTCCGAAGATGGTATATTGTTAGACTCTTGAGATCTCTTGAGTGTGTGTGTGTGTGTGTTGGGAGTCCAAGACTGGCCGCCTTGGGGGGTGGGGCCAAGATCTTCGAGAAAACCGTTCTGCTACTCATGCTGTCCTAGCTAGCTTTTGAGGAATCTGTTGTATCAAGGTCAGTTTACACATTCTGCTGAACAGAATAGATTACAATGAAGGACTTCTCCACTGGCCTCAAAATCCCCCAAACAAACTAAACAAACTCAGAAGTCCCCAAACTCTACGGCGACTCCCCCCCAGAAAAGAAAGAGTGCTTCGTACTTTGAGCCCGCAGTTGCCAAACCGCGTTTTGACCCAAGACGTCAATCATCAGGCCTAGATCCCAACAGAGAAAGACCACCAGCGTCCAAAGCCATAAGCCCAGCAAGCTTAGAAGCGCCATCCTCAGTGAGAACTGCTGAGCCAGGTAGGCAGCTGGACGCACCAACTGCCAGTAGAACAACAAGACGCTGAGAAACCAGGCCACGGGGACCCACCTGGCCAGCCACTCGACTCTGCGGCCGAAATGGAATGCTGAAGCGCTCTTTCAGTAGGGTTAGAAGTGCAGTCTAGACTGAAGGACATTGGGATGTTGCTCCTCTACTCCAACCCCAATGGGGGGCCACTAAGAAATCACTAGTCGTGGCAAACAAACTGTTCTTCACCATTCCCACACATGGAGATCCGTTCACGATGGTATTCTGATACATGAAATCCATCACATCATCAGATGATCAAGTTCTCTGACATCAACTCGGAGGTCGGATCAAACCATGCAGGGAGTCTTGTCCTATCTAGCAGCCCGGTCAGTGTTTACCACCAACAAGGGTCGGTCAACCCACCGACCGACCGGGGTCGGGGGGGTGCGT